GTGGGTGGGAGATGGTTCAGCATTTTGGGGGGCAAATATGTTAAACATGAAGGTGATACAGCTATTGAGCAGCTTGAAGGTGGCATTAAGGTGGTCAGAAAAAAAGGTCAAAGGACAAGAGGCACGAAGGGAGAACATTTTTCCAGGGGTAGAATGAGATAGTGGGTGGGTTGGCAGAGGGGAAGTGGATGTGAGAGGAGAGTGAGTTAAGGAAGTGATAGGAGATGGTGAGCTCGGTGATGTGAGTTCATGGGGGGCAAGAGAGGAGAGTGTGAGTCGGGGAGTTTATGTGGAGGGTGAGGTTGAGGAAGAAGTGGAAATCGGAGAAAACATTATTATTTATTATTATTATTACTTCCGAGTATCAGGGATGCTCGGCAAGAGATCAGTTTAACAGAGATGACACATCATCTCAATGCAATGTCTTCCGGATCATCAGATTATAACACAAAAGTGCAGCACACAAGGAACAGGCCAACAACCTGCTCGTTACCTTACAACCTGCTGGGTTATGCGCATTTCAATCAATAGGGAATCCGCAGGTCAAAGGAATTTACCATGGATATAGCAGCATCAATTTCTGGATCAATCTCTACACAGGCAGCCATCAGGAACTCAGGATCCTCATTATACCAGCTTCATATTGAGGAACGACAATCGAGAGTTTTGGAGAATTAACAGAGGGCTGGCCATTGGAACATAACAAATACTAGACCAACACACAACTCAACCACATCAATATTTCAGTTGAACAACACTGATTTGGCATGCCATTAATTCATAAATATGCGTATGGCTCAGGTTTCAGATTGGATTATTCAAACACCAGTATCAGGAATTCAATCAACAACTTACATTTACACGTGTCAGTGCTGCAAATCAAATATTAAAAGGGCACAGACTTAATGGAAAAAGTTTGCCGACTGCTATAATTTTAATTAAATTTTAAATTGTACAATTTCTTAAATAATGAGTGGGAATTAAATATGTAACGATTTGTGAATTATATTCACTTAACTGAAATGTCGATGTAAGCAGAATTGACTACTGTCTGCTACTTCGGCAATACAGAAATGTAATGTAGTGATGTGCTGTGGTTTACAAATAAAGTAGGACCTTCACAATTATGAATAAGAAATTGAGCGATGATACAGATTTATTAATGTTGAAAATAGAACAAGCATCTGGAATTCATGGTGCCTCGGTGGATGAAAACACCATGTGATGTGGCAGTGAATCATACACAATAGATCACAAGATCACACGTCTGATTCTGATTAAGATCCTTCAGACCATTTGAGCTCATCGTTCCAGAATACCCACCGTGCTGTCTTCTCATCACAGTGTCCAGCTATTTTTTTTAAAAAAACGAGTCCAATGTCCTGACCTCAACCACCTTTCCTGGCAATCTGTTCCAGTCATTAATTACTCTCTGGATAAGGGAAAGGGGCCTGACATTTGTCCTGAAATTGTCGTTTACATCTCTGAACCTATGTTGTCTTGTTGTAACAACTCCAACAACAACCACCACATAACACCCCTCACGTAGGGCAGTGTTCCGGAGCACGTGACAGTGGCAGAGCACAACGCCGAGCCAGAGGGTGGGGGAGGTGACCGTAGGCACAGTCGAAAAGGAAGGTCTTCAGGTGCAAATTGTTGTTGTACTGAGTCGTTGCAACCTCTTACTGGAGATGATCCGTATTTCCCTCCTCTGCATTGCCTCCAAGGCCAGAGCAGCCCCTTTACGTCACGGGAACCAGAATTGTACGCAGATCTCCAGATGCAGCCTGACCAAAGCAATATATAGCTGGAGAATGACGTCTTCTCACCTGATTGGCAAAAGAAGCCCGGCATCCTGCTTGCCTTGTTTATTCCTGCCTCCCACTGTTTTGACATGGTGAGCGATGAGTCATCTAACACCTCTAGATCTCTTTTAACTTCCCCTTTGGTAAGTTTTATGCCATCCATGGAGTACATTTGTCTCATAGTCTTACTTCCGATGTTTAGTACCTTGCATTTGCCTGTAGCAAACTAGGCAGATACAAGGTTCAATATCATACCTGAGTTAAGATAGCAGACCTCGCCTGGATGAAGAAAGAGTCCCAATGATTACCACGGACACTAATAAAGAAGAAAAAGAAACCAAATCTAGCATACTGTCAGAGTTCAGACTCCGGTAGCCACTGTGGAAACATGTCTGACTCAGCTTAATGTGGAGTCCTGTCGCTCAGCGGTTAGAGCACTCGCCTCGCAAGCGAGACCGGGGTTCTATTCCCAGCAGGGCGAAATGTTGGGCAAGTTTCCTTACTCCACACCCCTCTGTTTACCTAGCAGTAAGTAGGAACCTGGTTGTCAGTTGATTGGTGGATCGCTTTTCCAGGGATAATAATCCCTAAAAAAAACCCAATAATAATTGGTCACTCAATCCACAACTGTTTGCAGGACACTGCTGTGCGCAATTGGCTGCCGCGTTTCACCCATAAATATACAGTTTCACTTTATGGTATATTCTGTGAAGCGCTTTGAGACATCTAGAAGATGTGAAAAGCGCTATATCAAATGCAAGGATTATTATTATTATATGCACCGAGACTCATCCAGACTCACATTTAAAGAGTAAGATGTGGGCAGAGGGCTATCAATGTTCTTTAGTGTGTTCCAGGATGATTTGCCAAATTCAGGAGTGGAAGCGCAAAGGAATTGGAAAGGAAGCAAAAGTCCATTCCTGATCAACTGTATGAATGCCACCAAGCCCGGTCATAGTGAGGAGAGCTGACAATCTCAAACAATTGGGCAATGGGATGACACGCATGAAAGCCTCATCACTGAATGCAATGTCAGTTTCATTCCCTTCGACGTTTGATTTGCAGAGCTGTATGTTCCAGTACCACTACTCAGGGGATTATTCATTCGGCACTCAAGATAAAGTAATATCCATGTGTCAGAACACGAGTCAGTTAAAAGTAAGGATAAAACTTAGCTGGGCAGTTACTGAGCTCTTCTTTACAAAGCTATGGACAGTTAATAATAATAATCCTTGCATTTGATACATCGCCTTATCACATCTTCGAGATGTCTCAAATCGCTTCACAGAATATACTGTAAAGTGAATTGAATGCACATTTTATAGGTGAAAGTTTCCAATTTAGGCAGATTTGAAGGGATGAAATCTGGACAGAAAGTCAGAATATTATTTGGATTATTGCAAAGGAGTACTTGGTATTATTTTTTAATTTAAAGAATTGCAGCTTGGTGTGTCTCCTATGAATTTTTCTTCTTTTAATTGATGGCATGATTTAAATCAACCTTTTTGCCATGTAAAACCACAACAAAGTTAATCTTTTTTATAATCTTGGTGCTTGAAATGTACAGTCGGTTTATTAGGATCACAGGATACTTGCCACAACAATGTTTAAGACTATTTATTTAAATAGATTATATTTCATGACCTAAGCCTTTTCATGCAGTGCATGCCGCTCATCGGTAATAACAGGCTGCTCCTCCAGTAACAGGGATGATAACAATGATTAATGATAACAAGATCTGCACTGGAGCGAGGAACAAAGTCATTCTGGAAAAACGAGAAAGGTGAAGAGTTCAACTGGAGTGTGAAGCTAAACTATTTGACATGCAAGAAAGCTAGAAGACAAATGTAAATTTGGACGAGCTTGGACTCCTGTTATTAATCATGTTGATACACGAAGTCAAATCAGGATTTCCTTCAGTTATCAGCTAAGCCGTTGGCTGCAACATTTGCTGCCACACAAAACTGCTTCACCCATGTCTGCCTCTGGATGACCTGATCAAAAAATGTAATGCAAGAATCAGAACTGTGCAGATATTTTAGGTTCATACCCAGCTATAGCTGAAATGTCTCAGTCAGACTTGCACTCCAATTGTTGCACAAGTTTCTCTGTTCTTGCTTGACTGTTTTATTGGTACTTTGAGCTCACGGTACAGGCAACATTACAGCCAAAGTGCTGGGGCGGTACTGCATTGTCAGAATATGGATGAAACATTAAACCAACGTCTGCCTACCTATTCAGATGGTGTTAAAGATCCATGACAATATCAAAGGGAATTTATCCCAATGCCCTGGCCAACACTCTCCCAGATAACACTGATCAGTCACTTCAAGGCTGTTTATAGGATTGTTGCTGTGCGCAAATTAGCTTTCCTGTTCAGCTACATATCTGTAGTCCATCCACTCTGCAGTCAATCCTGTCAATCCTGTGAAGCATGCTCTGATCACTCATCACCCTCAAATATTGAGATGTTTCTCATTTCAAATGCAAAGATTATTATTATAACACCTGTTTCACAATTGGGCTTTGTACTAGAAAAACATTACTTGCCGATGATATAAGATGAAAGGAGTCCTTTTACATCAGTGTACAATTTTCTCGACATAAACACAATATTGAATACGGATAGACCAAAATGCAACTTACAACAATGCTGCAACAGTAGACCAATAGTTGGTGCTTTGTGTATGTAAATGTAATACAAGCAAATATATTATATTCTGCTCTTCCTCCGCCTCCCCAGCTGCTTTAAGTAACAAACCAGCATTTTAGTTCAGAGGTTAAGCAATTTATCTGTGGCTTTATAAGTCAAAATTAATCACTCATCACAATACATGCTCTGATCACTCATCACCCTCAAATATTAAGTACATACTAATATTTAGAGATTGACCGTTTTTGTCATTTCCATACATGAGGCCCTTTAGTGAATGTTTGAGAAAATACCCAACAGAAATTTGTTGCAACCCTACATAACCTACCTATTACAGTCCTGTCATTCTCACCTGAAACCCTCATCTGAAATACCTGGGCTCTGCAACTTTATAAACTCAGCTGCTGCGGTGAGCGTAACAACAGAAGTGGGAAAGAGATGCTTTGGGAGAACCAACCTGAACCCAGATACATTTGTAGGTAATCCTTCTTAAGCATGCACAATATCATACAACAATGATTACAACTCGGAGCCGATCCTACCTCTACCAGATGTGGAGCTGGGTTGAATCCACACAGATTGCACACTTGGGTTTTGCATTCAGTGCAGTTGTTAAAGTTGGGAGGCTGGCTTGATCCCACATTCAGTTCAGTTTTGCAAAGAGGGCACAAGACCTTGGGTTTGGGGGGATCCTTCTGCTGAATGACTGGTTCGGGTTTCCCTTGTTTAGAGGTGCGGGCACCACTGGTTTCAAAGTGTGCTCCAGCAGGCTGACCTGGCACTTTTGAGCCCAAACCTGTGCTTTGGTCACTGAAAACAACCTTTGGAGCCTGTTTAACTGAAGTCCCTTTAGCAGGCGATTGTTGATTTTGTGGTGTTTGTTCTGGCTGAGTGGAAATAAGGCTGCTGGCCTGGCTGAAAAGGGAAGTTCCAAACCCAAAGAGTTTGCCAGTAATGCCATCCTGCGACTGCTGCTCTTGAGATGCACTGGAGGATCCTACTTGAGTTCTTGCAGGTGAACTCTCTACTGATCTCCTTTGTTCTACAGGAGAAGGCCTGGTTTGCTGGCTCTGACCCAAAGGCCTAGTTGTCTCTGCCTGGGCACTAGGCTTTGGTTGGGTCTGGTTAGTGGTTGGCCTCGGTTGCTGCTGCAGACTGGGCTGCATCTTGGTCTCAGGTTTAGCTTGCTGTGCACCAGATGGCACTTTAGGAAGCTCCCTTTTTACTGGCGTGGTTCTGCTTTGTGGGGGCACACGGTCTGCTGGAGGCTGTGTCCGTGGTTTGACTTGGGATTCTGATTGGGGCTGACGTGATGGTGAGTGAGGCTGAGATGGTAGTGTGTGGGGCTGAGGTGATGGCGAATGGGGCTGAGGTGATGGCGAGTGGGGCTGAGGTGATGGCGAGTGGGGCTGAGGTGATGGCGAGTGGGGCTGAGGTGATGGTGAGTGGGGCTGAGATGATAGTAAGTGGGGGTGAGGTGATGGTGAGTGGGGGTGAGGTGATGGTGAGTGGGGGTGAGGTGATGGTGAGTGGGGGTGAGGTGATGGTGAGTGGGGGTGAGGTGATGGTGAGTGGGAGTGAGGTGATGGTGAGTGGGGGTGAGGTGATGGTGAGTGGCGGTGAAGTGATGGTGAGTGGGGCTGAGGTGATGGTGAGTGGGGCTGAGGTAATGGTGAGTGGGGCTGAGGTAATGGTGAGTGGGGCTGAGGTAATGGTGAGTGGGGCTGAGGTGATGGTGAGTGGGGCTGAGATGATAGTGAGTGGGGCTGAGATGATAGTGAGTGGGGCTGAGATGATAGTGAGTGGGGGTGAGGTGATGGTGAGTGGGGCTGAGGTGATGGTGAGTGGGGCTGAGGTGATGGTGAGTGGGTCTGAGATCTTAGTGACTGGGGCTGAAGTGACGTTGAGTGGGGCAAACGTGATGGTGATGGTGAGTGTAGCTGCTGCTGGCTTTTGGATCGTGTTGCAGTTGTCATGTCCATTCCCAGGGCTCTCTGCATCTGACAGTTTAAGCACAACCATTCTTCTACCTGAAAGATATAGAGTGTGTGGTTAAACCATCTATTAGGTCAATCAAACATTTCGTCAATCTCAAACATTAATCCCTCAAACCCACAAATGTTTTTTTTGTAGTAATTGAGTGAATTTACGTGATTAATTTGAGAAAATTGGTATCCAGAGTCCTCCTGGGTCCCAGAGGAGCAATGTGACTGGTGCCCATTAACTCAAAACAAAATCAAATGCCCGAACTACTTCTTTGGGCCATTCATACTTATTAGATTAAATTAGCTGCCCATTAGCAAGCGTCCTCACATTCCTCAAGATCTTAAACACACATGGTTACAACCAAGAGGTAACTAAGGTTGCTGTAATTGACCTTTTTGGATTACAAGAGTACTATAATTAACTGGATATTATGGAAACAAAGCTGAAGCCTCTCATCTGGGTTTGCCAATCAGAGGTACCTCCATATACAAAAGTTACATTGAATTTTAAATATCAACATTACTTCCCATTACCGGGATCATTTGATATGTAGCACAGAATTGATGATGTAAAACAAAGCAAGTGCACTGCACCAAGAAATGGAGGTTGTCAACCAGTTTTGAGCAGCAACTCAAAGTAATTACATTACATAAATTAAATGTCTAAATGCAGATATCTAGAGGGTGCACACTAGCGCTTGCCAGACATCAAATTATAACAGCTGGGTATTTATATAATCCCTGCACTTGATATAATGCCTTATCACATTGTCAAAGTTCTTCTCTAAATTTATTGTAAAGTGTAGTGACTGTATTTCTAGCCAAATGCTGCAGCCAATTAACAAATAGCAATTTCGCACAAACAGCCATGAAGTGAATGAGCATCATAGAAGTCACAAACAAATTAGCTGTTGGTGGAGGCTAAGCCGATGATATAAGAGGTCCCCTCACCTAAATGCAAGAACAAATGTACATAAACAGCAATTTCCTACAAACAGCAAAGAAGTGAATGAGAAATGTTATCTATTAGCCAGGACACAGGGAGAGAAACTCCTTTCACTTTGAGTCAAGCCACAGGATCTTTAACTGAATGGGCAGACAGGACCTCAAGTTAACGTCTTATCTGAAGGATGGCACCTACTAGTAATGCAGCTCACATCCAGCACTGCACTGATTGTTAGCCTATACTATGCAAGTTCAAAATCCCAACTAGTGGATTGAACCCATAATCTTCTGAGTCAGAGATGAGCTACCAACTGAGCCTCCTGGTATGGTAGAGTATTACGGTTATCTATCAGTACTTTCACAGTGGAAAGTTAACCCTTTGAAAATTCATCCACTATTCAGCTTTCAAATGCATTCCCAGACACATAACTTTCTAGAGAATGTTTTCTATGTATTTGAAATGAGTTCTGATTGTTAATCAAGACTAATTCTAGGTTCACGAATCTGTGGTGGCATTGCAGAGGTAACCATATAGAAAAACAGTCAATAAAGTACACACCACTACTGTGTGAGGGGAGGCATTGTCTAGAGAAAGAATAAGTAAAGCAAAATCTTAAAAACGGAGAGAGGGAAACTATTTAAAAAGCACAGGACTGCCAGAGGCCTTTAATTTTCAGATGGGAATGCTTGTGTAGGATGTTGAGGGAACAAGGTTACAGAAGCACAGCATGTGGTTAAGTAAAGCCAGGCATTCACTCAATTAGAATACAGAAAGTGTTGTGCCAATTCAAACCCATCTGCTGAAATGTCTCAACAATGAGGCAGCCCGCTATGTTTTGGGGATAAAGTAAGACTACATTAAAAAGAAAAAACAAATGAAAACTCACAATTATATCTGAAAGAATGCAAGACATTCCAGTCTTGAGGTCAGAGAAATAATCAGCAAGAGATGATGCAAGGATTTTAACTTCGTTTGGAGGAAGAGAGGTGAGACAGACTAATGCCAACATCTCCATCGCTCACAAAGCTTGTCGTACAAGCAAATGTTAACTCCGGAGCTGTACACTTTATGCAGTGTACAACAGAGACAATGCTTTTGGAATGAAGGGCTTGAAAGGTTGGCAAAAGGATGAGAAAGATCCACTGTTCAGACGGCAAAAGCACGAATAAGAGTTTCAGCAGCAGTGGGGATGAGTGGAGAGCAATAGCAGGGAATATTCCAAAGTCGGAACAACAACAACTTGTATTTATATAGAGCCTTTCACACAGGGTAGCATCTTGGAGCACATAACAGAGGCAGAGCTGGGGAGATGACCATAGGCACTGTCAAAGAGGAAGATCTTCAGGTGTGAACTGAAGATGTGCAAGGGAGAGGCGAGGCAGAGAGATTGAGGCAGAGAGGTCCATAGTTTCGGGGAAAGAAAGCAATGGATAAGATGTGATGCTTGAAACTCAACGTGGGGTGAAAGAAAACCTCAAGGGTGTGTACTATCTGGATTAGCTGAAGGAACAGCCAAGGAGGTGAAGGAATCAAAGTCAGAAGGAAATAAATGCTGGCAAAAAACAAACAAGATGGAATGAGTCAGTGTAGTATAGTTTAGAGGTGAATATATTGCATTGATATCGCTTTTAATATAAGCATTTCTAGAGGAAGTTCACAAGCAAAAGCTAATCTATTATCCACATGGTAAGTGTTCTCCCAATATACGAAAAAGACATGAAGTCGCTATGGAACATCAAAACATAGACTACATTAGCAGAGTTGGTTTTCTACTCTGAAGTGCTCAGCAGTCAATCCTATGCAAACCGCAAACAATTAGCACCAAAATGTGTCCACAGTGAGCTTCCTCATCCAAAAAGGGGAGGTTTCTGCTGCAGTTGAAAATCTACTGCGCACCAATTTTTTTTAAAAAAAGGTATTCTTAATGCTCTTGTAGTGACAGGCAACGAGTTACTGTATTATTATACTAATAACAATGAGCCTTGCACTTGATATAGTCCATATCAAGTCTTCGGGAAGTCTCAAAACACTTCACAGAATATACCGTAAAGTGAATTGAATGTATATTTTGTTGACGAAATGAGGCAGCCAATTACGCACAGCAGTGTCCCACAAACAGTAGTGGATTGAGTGACCACATTATTATTATTATTATTATTTTATGAAGGGATTATTATCATGGCCCTCCTTGGAATACTAAAAACACAATAAAATATCTTAAAATACACAACAGCATGTAGCACTACCATATCAAAGTACATCCAACTGTTTGGGATACATCATTCACAACGTCTCACAATAATTTTGTTTTAAATTCAGCTAACACATCAATTATCTTCTGGCATCCCCCGTCAGCGTTCATTTTAGCTGATGTCCAGAATAACTTGCTTATTCATTTTCAGGCATCAGATACAATTTAAACAAACAGGTCTGTCAGTTTAATCCAGTTGAGAACTGCTAGGATCATGCAGTTATTTATCTAGCACCAAGCAATGCAGGGCATCAGCAAACCTAGTTAGTTTGCTGATCCATACCCAAGAGAGTCAAGCCTGTTCGTATTCATGATAAAACTGCTGTATCAGGGTTACTCGAATTCAGTGGCCATCAACCTTGGTTCATACAAAACTCTGAAAGGGTTCCACAATCCTAAAACTAAGTGTTAAGTTGAAAATATTCCACTCATTGCCAAGATTACGAGCAAAGTGCTGTAAAAGAGGTGAGCAACCCTTCACAAAAATAGTCATCTGCTCAGGGCAGATAGCATTAGTGAGCCTTTTAGTTAGTTGGTTGGTTGTTTAGCACACCTATGATTATTATTATTGTTGTTGTTGTTTTGCGTTTCAGCCTTGGACATAAATGTATGTGAGCTGGTAACTGTGAGATATCCAGATACAAACAAGTGTAGTAAGAGTTCTTGGTTGAAGATCATGAAACCAGCATGGGAGGACCTCAGGCACAAAGCTGCATACTGCTGGGTCTCAATTTCACTGCATTTTTGTCACCCAAAGAGTGGTGAAAATCTGGAACTCTCTCTCTCTCAAAGAGCTGTGAATGCTGAATCTTTTCAAGTTTTCAAGACTGAGGTGGGTAGATATTTGTTGGGTTAAGGGATATGGGGCAAGGGAGGGTAATTGGTATTGAAGTACAGATCAACCAGGATCTTATAGAATGGCGGGACAGGCTCAAAGGGCTGAATGGTCTAGTCCTGTTTCTATGTTTGGGGGGGGTTTGGACTTGAAAAAAAAATAATATTAATAATTTGATCACACAACCCACGACTGTTTGTGGGACACCTCTGTGCGCAATTGGCTGCTGCATTTCGCCTACAAAAATACACAATCACTACATTTTGTGAAGTGCTTTGAGAAGTCTTGAAGACGTGATAAGGCACTATATCAAATGCAAGGATTATTATTATTATCAAGTTACGCTGTTCCTGCTACCAAAACATCTTACGTATTCTGGAGGAAAGAATAAATGAGATGGCCTTGGCCTATCTAAAGGGCTGCTTACTCTTAATAGCTTTGCTTGCTGCAACAGATCTCTCATCTGTTTACCCAAAGCACTGCTGGAAATATTGGAGGAGAATGGTAAATGTGAATCTTCAGACACTTAATAAATTAATTGTACACTTGTTGGTTGGCAGATTTTCACTTCAGGGCATTTGTAATCAAGCATCTGATGTTACTATCTAAAAAAAATATACATATTAATGCGTTTGTGTTGTAAAATGAAAACTAAATGAAAAACCTCCCTCGGGGAATAGTAGCCAACAAAGAAAAATCCTACAAAGGAGCGTGGGATAATAATGCAATGTCCAAGGGGAATGTTTATTGGCAATGGCAATGTGAGGCTTTATGTTCAATCTGTGGCCACATTATCTTAGGCAAGTTTCCTTACTCCACGCACCTCTGATTACCTAGAAGTAAGTAGGAACCCAGTTGTTAGTCAATTGCCAGATCACTTTCTGGGGTAATAATCTCTGAAGAAAAAATAATAATTTTCACTCAATCCACGAATGTTTGCGGGACACTGCTGTGTACAATAGGTTGCCGCATAAGGAGGTATACCAAATGCAAGGATTATTATTAGTAGTATTGTTAAACCATTGAACTTGAAGAGGAATCAAGACAGTATATATCCAAATGTGACAAAAACAAATTTTAAAATGCTCCAAAATCGATCAACAGAAAAACAAAATATAGAATCAAGATGAAGAGGTGATTTAGAAAACTTGCAGAAACAAAAAAAGAGGATGATTATTGGGCTGAATACATGACAGTAAAAAGAGATTTAAAATAAATGTTTATAAGGACCCATGAGAGCGCTGGAATGGGAAATAGCAATAAATGCAAAAAAACATAATGGCAAATAATTATTTCAATCTTTCAGTAAGAGGGTAATCAGAAGAAATTTGTGCAGCATTTATAACAACACATTACATTTATATAACACATTTCATGTCAGAGAGATGTCCCAAGGTACTGGAAATTCTAGGGATTTAACCCAAGCTGGAGGCTGGAATCAAGAGGGGTGGTGGGTAGAACAACAACAACAACCAAAATTATATTTGTAAGGCACCTTTCACGTCGGGAGGACATCTCAAAGCGCTGGATAGAACAGGTGAGGGTGGCCGAAGGTACGGTCAAAGAGGAAAGCCTTGAGATGCGGCTTTATGGAGGCAAGGGTGGGAGTCATCACTGGAATGAAACAGTACTTGCCAATATGGAGACTCAAAAAAATCTGGGGGGATTAGTTGACTCACTCAATATTGTGAGGCAGCAATAAACAAAGCAGACCGGCAGTGACATAAAAATCAAGCTAAAATTTCATGCTCAAGGTACGAATTCATGCTCAAGTTGCACAGTACTCAGGGCAGGCCACAACTGAACTATTTTTAGCTCTATTTCTAGATTTAGGGGGATTATTATTGCAATAAATGGAAGTATGTTCTCTTATTGCTTATAATGTCCTTGCATCTGAGAAATCTTCAATATGGGAAAGTGCAGCAGGAAATAAAGGAGAGATGGATAACTGGTTTTATGTTATACATAGAGAAGAGCATATGAGAAGTCAAGGGCATTGACACCAGAGTAACGTAATTACCCGATTCTACTGAGGGTCACAGTTTCAACTGTGTTATTTTGGAGGGGAGGAAGGAAAATGTTTTTCTCCAATTTGTTGTTGCGCACCTCCTAGTGGCAGCTAATAGCAACACTGGTCAGACCTGGGACCTTGAGAGCCTTAGTTAAAAAAAAAGTCTTCATATTTTCCTCCAGTTTCCAAAAAGAGGAAAAAGTGATGAGTTTTATTCTTTTGCGAAACTTTTATTTCTAGTTGACAGCAGGAGTCTTGGTAGCCAGCATCAACCAGATAAATTTGGGGTTTATTTCTCTTCAAGGGAATGAATGTATTAGAAACCAATAAAGCACAACCTACAGAAAAAAACATGAGTGTTTTGGGAAGACACATGATTTACTTGCTGCTACTTGAGACATCAAGCAGCCCATTAATAATATCCATGTTTATCCGACAATTTGTATCAAGCGAAATACTACATACTTAAACTTTTCGCCCACAAAATATACAGTCAATTCACTTTACAGCATATTCTGTGAAGCGCTTTGAGACGTCTCGAAGACTTGTTAAGGCGCTGTATCAAATGCAAAAAATATTATTATCCAAACCAAATCACAAACCTCAATATTATTTTTTAAATTGAAAATCAATTTATCACTTCATCAAAATGCATAGAAAATAATAATAATACACGCATTGTCATTCTGCTTTCAGTTACTTTGAACTTCTACTTTGTACTTCTTAATAATAATAATCCTTGCATTTGATATGGTGCTTTTCACGTCTTCTAGACGTCCCAAAGCGCTTCACAGAATATACTGTAAAGTGAATTGACTGTATATTTGTGGGCGAACGCGGCAGCCAATTACGCACAGCAATGTCCCACAAACAGTCGTGGATTGAAAATGACCAATTTATTATTGTTTTTGGTTTTGGAGGATTATTATTAGGCTCTGTGTGGAGTAAGGAAACTTTCCCAACGTTTCGCCCTGACCTGGAATTGAACTCAGGTCTCTCACTTGCAAAGCGAGTGCTCTAATCACTGAGCTACAGATCAAGAAAAAAAAACAGAATATCTAACACGACCATTGATTTAAACAACTTAAATAACCCATTTACTGCTGTTTTAGAACAAAAAACAGTTCTCTTACATTATATATACAACCAAATGTCAAATTTTCTTCCAAATCTCACACGTTCCAAGAAAAAGAAAAACGTACCTCTGTGATGTGAGGGTTAGGGTTAAATCCACACTGTTTGCACACGACTGATTGACACTGAGTACAAGTGTTGAAATTTGGCTGCTTTGGAGAACGGTTGAGTTCTGTGGTTGCACAAATCGGACATAAAGTACTGCTGGGCAGCGGAGCTATCTGTGGTACTGAATAAGGGGATGTTGGAGCGCTGATTCTGTCTGGGGATACGGAAGGGGATCTCCCTGTTCTTCCTGTATTCGTGTCCACTTGAAGAGTTCTCTGTCCCTGTTGCTGCAGAGATGGCAAGTTCTGCTGTGCGGAGCTACCTTGGTTCTGTATTCGTCTTGCACTTTCGTTACTGGGAGCAGTCTGTTGGAGGGCCACATTCTTTGCACCAGGTTGGCCCACATGAGATGCTGCCTTTTGTCCTATCAAATGATCGCTCTGATGCAGTCTTGCACTGTAAATTGGAAGACAAATCCCAGTCACTTTATCACTGTTGTTCCAATGAAAAACATAGCCAATATGGAAAGCTTTTTTTTTAAAGAAATAATTCTACTTATTAAAGTAGAATCATTGCTACGTTTGAAGCTACATTTACAAAGTTTGTAAATTGCTAACTATATAAATGTAGCTTTAAAAACACTGTTGTGCATAGTCTGACAACTTTAAATGGGAACAGTTAAATCAATGGGCTTGAAGTTTTAATGATGTTAAAACTCAGCATTAGTAAGTATATGTCCCAATTGTGTCAGTTAGATACAGCATGTTAATGATACACAGTTTTACAAGAATTTGGGTATTATATTCCCACTAATCTCAATGGCTTAAATATACTATATTCTTCTAAGAATTTCCAAAGGATGAAAAGATAACGCAATAATTTCTTAAAACATCATAAAATGGTACAGGCCATTCTCATGTTTTTTTGTTTCACTCTCCTAGATAAACAATAAAAAAATCTTGCATTTCATAGAGCAACTTATCACATGGCTGAAGTATCTGAATGCTATTCACAGAATTTTTTTTTTTATTATGAACTGTGGCGACTGTGTATCTGCAGATGAACCCGATAATATTTCAACCCAGATGAGAAAGAAAATAGACGCCAGTCTTTGTCTTCTGCAGCTGGTAGAAGTGGCCAACCCAACTAAAAATGCACAAGCATAATGCAAAGCTGGAGAATTTGTTTCCCTCCTGTTTCTAAGAGAGTGGAAAGTGTAAATAGTTCTGAATCTAACCACCCACCAAGCTGTTGTATTCTCTATAATGTCACTGGAAGTATGGATAGAACTGTATTTGAATGACTAAAATATTGGGGAGGCTACTTTTAGAACAAGCTTCATCAATGTGGTAACATGCAGATTTTGGCCTATAAACTCCGGAAAATGAGTCACTAAACAGATTTGTGTGACCAGATGAAGGCATGGAACACATTCAACAAATCATTTCCTTCCCCTCAAACTGGTAGCAATTGACAAAGAGTCTGGAGGTCTTTATGTTAAGCTTAAATTGATTAAATCACTGGTTGAATATGTAAACAGTAACACTGGTTTTCATGATTCTATTTATAGTTCACATTAAGATTTATAAGCTAGCAGAGAGAGCACTCAAGATTATATACCTGCTTTATTAAATAGCAAGCCATCCTAAATGTCTTAAGATTTAATACCATAAAAATCAAGTTGTCATTCAATGTCAGTTTCTCAAAAATATTATGTCCAAATAACAATTTCAGTCTCATAGTTTTAATTCACTTTAATTATGATTACTCTTGGGATTGCATTTGTACTTCAATCCTCATGATCCTTTTTTTAAATGATGAATATCATTAATATTTACTGCAGAATTTGCTGCGAGTTTTCTGCCACTATATGAAAAAAGTGGAAAAAGTGAAAGCCAATATTGAAAGTTTAGAAAACAAGTGAATAGCAAGTGCTTTTTTTTTTTAAGTTGTCAGTAATTCCTCACAGAACACTAACATGTTATGTGATAAGGCCCTAGAAATAGGTGTTATTTTCTTTCTCACCCTTCCACCCTAACAGAACTCGAAAACAACAACTGCACTTACATGATTCATGTTAGTCCATTCTCACACATTTTTAGACCCTGTGTGGGATTGTGAGAGGTAAAGTGGGGCAAGGGTGTGAGGGATTTAAAGGGTCATGGGTCTTGAAGTCAATCCAATGGGAAATAGAAGATCTCAAACCCTAGTGGGAGAAAGGATAGACAGTTGCAAAGGTGTTGACCGTCTGGAGCTTGTGGTGGGTTCAGCTTGGAAGGCCAATGCAGAGGGCATTGGAAACATCAAGAGTAAAAGGGACAAAGGTGTGGGTGAGACAGGACGGAGAGGAGCTGTTCTGCAGAGATTAAATAAAGCAAGTGGCCTTGGCCAGAGATGGTATAAGAGGCAAAGATTGAAAAAGTGACTAAAACATTAGTCAGTGTTCATCTGACAAATGTGGAATTTTACTTTAAAAATTGAACAATGAGAATGATTCCAATTTACACCACATTGTCACACCACCCACAAAATACACAGTCAATTCGCTTTACGGCATACTCTGTGAAGCGCTTGGAGACGTCTCGGAGACAAATGCAAGGATTATTATTATTATTATTATGCCATCATTGTTATGATAAGGCGGTGACTTAAACGCTATCTACCGTACAGCTTGCTAAAGTGAGACGTGGATTCCGGGGAGACCTGAATTAAAATCAGCAGCCGGCGGAGTGGATTCAAATTAGAACGCCTAAAGGTTTGTTCCGACAGGGCAGCTCCTGGTATCCATCAGAGCTGGTACGGCCGCGGACAGTTCCTCTGGTGACCTGCAAGTCCTACGGAACACAGGGGGGGGTGTGGGGGGGTTATTGGTGCTGAAAAGAACAGCTCCTTACAATGAACGGGTGGTACTGGAATGGACAGCTCCTCCCTGGCCTTAGCAAGACAATGGGTGGTGCTGAAGTGGACAGCTCCCTCTACCAACGAAAGGTTATTTCAGTGCTTCTTGAGCAGAGGGGGTGGTGTGGGGTTGGGTTTGGGGTTGGGTTGGGGGGTTCCAAGTCATCGTAACGCAATGCACGTGGCAATAACACAAGGTTAGATCCTACTAAACACTACAGGAGGATATGCCTGTGGCAACCGAGCGCTGTCATCCACCCGAATGGCCAAGAGTTATGCCAAAGCAAAAAGAAAAGAAAAAAAGAAAATCGTACCAAAAGTCAAGTCACGCACTGGGTAGTGTAAATGCTATTAAAAGGATCAGTTCTTACGGTTGATTGCAGTATGGACACACACACACACACTCATGCATGGGGTTAAAACGAACAGAGATTATAGTAAAGAATGGTGCACGCAAGAGTTGCTGAATAAACGCATATTGCAATTGCAGTCCACCACAATGCACACAGAAGTGATGCTGAAACTGCTGGTAGATTGCAGTCTTACAGTCGAGGAGAGTACTCATGTGAATCTTACAGCTTCTGTTAAACGACCCTACTATCATTCGGGGACACCTGTGATAGGAATCGCTCTGCAGTATTTATTACTGCAGCATTTACTCCAGACATTCTACGTCTACGAATGGTTAATATATTAATCAAAGCAAGCCACTGAAGGCACTCCACAAGGAGTGACATGAATTTTTCTCCACTTCCATTCAAAAAAATGTGTCCAGCACGATAAATGTGAAGCGAGGACTAACACACCACACATACAGAAGCAATAGACTGCCTCTGTGTTTTTCTTTGTTCTCCTCAATTCTAACTCCGTTTCTTGCCGTAACGATAAAAATTATCTGCTACAAACAAATTAGTTGCAGTGACACAAAACCATCGCATCGTCACATCATCTAGTACTCCGAGAAACTTCCATCGTTTCTCCCCAATCGGGATACAAAACCATTTAAAAATCCTACAGGTTAGCATTTTCAGCTCTTCTTTTCGGACATAGCATGAATCCTGTCTGAAAATAGCAATCTTTGCCCAAGCAAAAGTCTTGCCCAACATAAGTTTGCAACACATCACCCTCATTCCCCGCCTTTACTTCCCTGAATTTAGAAGTTACGGTTAATCTGTATCCCAATCGAGCACGGTTTAGATGAAACTACTGACCCAAGGATATTTGCGGCACTTAACCACGCAACGAAGAATAAATAAAAGTAATGCCTCGTTTAAGACCGCGCTAATGTTGTTAGCCAAGGGAAGTATTGTAAAGGATTTTGAGGTTTAAGTAATATTCCAATTGGTTTCACCCCCCACACACACTCCCCTCCCTTTCTTCCCTTTGGGCGACAGTTTCTCATTGAACCGGGTTGACCACGAACCAAGTGCTCGGATTCCCTGGATTTTATTACACTTTCTCTTTATATACATATAATATATATATATATACACACACACACAAATGCAGAGATGACAAGAACGCCTCGTGACCTTCCTCCCCTCCCCAATTACAATTCCTCGGGCAAGTCATCAACCAGAGTATGTTTCCCCTTCTGGTGGGGTGGGGGGTGTAGAAATGATTGCAGCTTCTGCCACCCCCCCCCCCCCCTACACACACACACACCCCACCTTTCCTCCTCCAATTTAAACCCCAACCCTCCCCCCCCCCGTGGCTTCTCTTGCTCCCCTTATCCCCCGGGCCTCGTTGGATCCCCAGTCCCCATGGAGGTGGCTAAACTGTAGATGGTTTGACTGTCGCTCTGCACTGCACTGCCCCGGACACTCTCTCTCTATCCCTCTCCACTGCCTCCAAGTCTCTCCCCCCCCCCAGACCCTGCCCCCGGGGGGGGGGGGGGAGTGTGGTGGGGGGGGTGTGGTGGGGGGGGGGGGGGGGGGGGGTTACGGACCTGCTCGCTGCTCCCGCTGCTGTTGCTCTTCCACCCGCTCCGGCCGCTCCGTTGGGGGCCACGGCTTTGAGAGGCTGACCTGCCGGCGGCTGAGGGTGTGCGGGGCCGAGCCCCCCCGGCGCCGACACAGGAGCCGAGCCCGGCTCCCCGCTCTCCAGGCTGTTCTCGTTGCCCATGTCGGTCGGTCAGTCGGTCGGTCGGTGCCTCGGTCCGCGGGGAGACTGTCCTCCTCCTCCTCCTCACCACCACACCGCTCGCTCCACCATCGACACCATCTTTTGACCCTCCCCTCCCCCCCCCACACAGCACCACACTCACCACTACCACTACCACTACACACACAGTGACAGGGGCGCGTCACCGCGCATGCGGGCTCGCCCGCTCACTGGCTTCCCGGCACCGCGCATGCGGGGGCTCACCCGCCCGGCACCGCGCATGCGCCGAAACACACCCGACACTGCGTCGAAAGGGCAGTGTTGCACGCACTGAGCATGCGCGGCACGCAGCCGTGGCTGTCCCACTGCGCCTGCGCGGGAGACTTGGCCTGCTTGGTCCTGCCCCTCGGTGTGCCTGGTCCGGTGGCTCTGTCTCTCCCGATTGAATGGCTCAGGAGAGGGAGGCAGAGGAGGGGGGGGGGGCAGAGGGGGGGGGAAGTGGAAAGCTTTCCGAAAGGTTTCTCTCCCGCCTCCCGATCCCAAGTAAAACCTTCAGAAGTACGTTCCTCCTTTGCCGTCCCAGCCACGCGGAAGCACTCTTCTTATAATAATAAAACCCTGCACTTGATACAGCGCCCCCCCATCGCATCTTCGAGACGGCTCACAGCGCTTCGCGGGACACACTGTAACGCGAATTGACCGTGTAACTTTGTGGGAGGAACGCGGCAGACAATTGGGCACAGCAGCGTCCCCACAATCAGTCGTGGATTGAGTGACCAAATTATTTAAGTATGAATGAGGACCACAAGCATAAAACACAGCAATGAGGGAGGACACTGAGACACCAATAAGTGTGCAGATATCTCCCTTTGCAACACATGTAGACTTCCACTCCTAACCCCATTTCCAAGGAAATGTGTGGTGTAGTTAGGGAATGATTTAACATTTGCCAGCACCTCTCAAATAAAACCTCACCTGGACACATAATGTGAGGGTGGGGGGATGGGGCTCAGACAAAAAAGAGAGATAATATTGCAGGAATATTATTTTGAATTTGTATAATTTATTTAATTTCTAAAACAATGCTCTTTGGAAATATGCACGTTGTAACAACATTTTTCAGCAGTCACTGCTCAACACCAAGTATCCAGTACTATAGAGCCACCTATTGGTAACATAACATTGATGCCTATAAGAATTTAAGAACAGTGCTGTTTAAGAACAGTGCGATGTTTAGAATCAGTTCATGTCTCTAAAATAAACTGCCTCATAAAGCCAAGACGCGAAATCAGTTAAGGGATTTGAGATACTTTGAAATAGATGCTGACTTTATGTTGGTATGAAATTATAACAGAAATTTCATTCGCTAATCCCAGTCCAAAATATTGTGGGTTGTACTTAACAAACTGCTCAACGGGGTAAAGTTTGCCACGGTTCAAAATTAATTCCCCACCAGATGGCAGGGCAAACCCTCTAGGTGATAGGCTAGAGGGTTTGCTCTGCCATCTGGTGGACATTGGATTAGGTAAGTGGTTTCTTTCTTTTCAGAATCAAATTAAATATTTATTTTCCAATGTTCAATAACCTAAGATGGATGAAACCAGGTGTCAGCTTGGCTCAATCGATTGCATTCTCACCTCTGGGTTTAAATGTCACGTTTGGACTTTGAACTCACAGAATGCAGTGCTAAGGGAGTGATACACTGTCGGGAGGTGCTACCCTTCAGATAACACATTAAACCGAGGTCCTGTCTTCCTGTTGAGGTGGACACTAAAGGTCCCATGGTACTTCTCCCAGTGTCTTGGCCAACAATCCCGCAAACATAATTGATCATTTACTTCATGGCAGTTTATTGGAAATGACTTTGTGCAAATTGGCTGCCTCATTTTCCTATAAATACTGTCACCTTGTTTCACAGTAAAATCTAGTGGAGGGCTTTGAGACATCTTAATGAGGAGTTTTGTGAAATGGAAGGGTAAAGAATCAATGTTCTCCCTAGCCTAAAACATTGTTTTATCAATCAGACATGCTAGGCCCCAAGGCCTCTGTACTGATCAGTAAATTTATCCACAGGCCTCTACATAGAAAACAATTTTAGCAAGAGGCCTAGGAGTTGTGCACTGGTCCTCAACCTGGTGCGATATACAAACTGTAGGATATCAACTGCCCATATGAGCCACTGTGCTCACCTACAACTCTGCACTTAATTTCTAATTGTAATTTACAAAACACTTCAAGGTGTTTCTTTTAAGTGCAAAGCTCTTGATAAAATAATCATTGTTTTTAATATTGCACATTGAAATATATCAAAGGACTTAAGAGCTTTTCTCTGAAGTGCAGTGACGTGAAGTCTTCTTTTAGATATGTGTAGACTTTTCACAGTATTGTGGTGCGACATTGTAAATAATTTTGCATTTGTAACACCTAAACTTGTCAATGGTCTTCTAAGCGCTTTAATTTGCCTGAAAAAAAATGCAAGAATCACTTCCAACAAGTGGAGCTGGTTGTCCTTGTTCCGTGTTAAACGAGTTGGGCCGGGGCAGGTCTGTCAAGTTTTCTAAAATAATAATAAATAATCCTTGCAATATGACAACAGCGCTTTAGTTAATCGCGTCTTCCGAGACGTCTCAAAGCGCTTCACGGAACATACCGTCAAGTGAATTGACCGCATATTTTTGCGGGCAAAAACTTAGGAAGATACTAGTGTGTGTGTGTGTGTTTGAAAGGGAAATTAAAAGCCTGGAAGGGGGGGGGGGGGGAATAAACCCTCTCCCTCCCCCCCACCCCCTTCTCTCTCTCTCTCTCCCAGTTAAAAAAAAGCGGGTGGAACTCGAGTGCAACTAGTTTTCTGATTTGCTCCGCGGGTCGAGGTGGAAGGGGATCAGGGGGTGGGAGTGTGTGTGTGTGGGTGAGGGGGGGGGGGGGGAACTTTCTGCCATTTCCAAATTGGCGGCTCTCCCCTTCATTTGAAGCCATGGCGGAGGGTAGGTGGCCTTCTTCTATTATTATTATTAATTTTTGCCTCAAACTATCCTCTCACCTCACTCGCTCGCTCCGCGGACATGTCTCTCTTGTCGCTGCTGACCGACCAAACGGTCGGGGTCGGGGAGAGGAGGGGGTGAGTGGGGAGTGGGGGGCGTTTATATCGCAGTCCGGTTCCTCTCAATGGTGGCGGCGGCGGTGAGGTGGTTTTTTTCCCCCTCTCTCTCTCTCTCTCTCCCTCCTCTCCCGCCCCCTTTGCTTTCCTCGGAGCGTTCAAAGGCGGAAAACCCCGCACTTTGCGGTGGCTTCACCCGCACGTTCAAGATGGCGGCGGCCCGATCCGGTCACGTGAGCCGACCCTTTACCGTTGGAACCGCCTCTCTTGTCTCCTCCTCCTCCCGCGCCTCGCCTCTCGGCCGGTGGTGCTGCGCAGGCGCGTCGGGGGGTGGTGGTGGTGGGGGGGAAAGGGGCGGGGCCTGGGATCCTGGCAGGTGTCTGTTGCCGGGCGGGGGGGGGGGGAGCCGTTGTAACTGCGCAGGCGCAGTTGTTGCGGCGGCGGCGGCGATGACGACGACGGCCTCCCGTTTGGCGAGCGTCGGACTGCGCAGGCGCGGCCATCCGGGCCGGGCTCCCGTCCGTCCGTCCGGCGGTTGGTGCTCGCGGGCCTTCACGCTCTGGGCAGTCGCGTCGCGTGAGGGAGAGGGGCGGTCGGCGCGCGGCTGAGGGCCGGGGCGCGAGCCGTTGTTCCCCCGCCTCCTCCTCCTCCTCCCGCCGTCGCTCGAAACAATGGCCGAGGCGACATTCGGCGGCCATCCCCGCTCAGAGGAGGCCTCGGAGAGCGGCGAGGAAACTTCTGGAAGCGGCGCCGAATCGTCGCCGTCGTCCTCCTCTTCCTCCTCCTCCTCCTCCTCGGAGGGACTGTCGCGGCCCTTCTCGGTCGCTCGGTCGCCGCCGCCGCCTCAGGCTCTGCCGCAGAAGCCCGCGAACCCCGCGGCCCGCGAGCGGGTGGCCGGCCGCCTGCAGGACAGCAAGAGCCTGGACGGCATCAGCGAGGTGTTCGGCGGCGTCCGGGCCCGCGACAGCAAGTCCGGGGAAGGGAGGAGGGCGACCATTTCCAGTGCTTTGGAGCTGGAGGGTTCGGTCAGCCACGACGGGGACCTCACCCACTTTGTAGCCAACAACTTGCAGCACAAGATCAAGATGAGTTCGAGGCAGAGCCTGGAGTGTGAGTATAGGGGGTGGGGGTGTGGGGGGGAGAGGGCGTTACTCGCAGAGCTTCACCTAAAGCCTCTCAACACACCCAGTGCTGTGCGTTGTGTGCAGTCCATATACACACACAACACACACACACACACACCCCACTCCCCTTGTACTTAAAGGGACCGACCGGTGTGTGTTATTATCCTTGCATTTGATATAGCGCCTTATCGCGGGGAGGTTCATATTACCGTAAAGCGCGGAGACTGTGCGTTTTGTGGGCGATGCGCAGCAGCCAACTGCGGGCAGCGACGTCCCACGCAAACAGCCGTACGCATGTTGTACGTTCAATCCAACTTCTTGTAAGGTGTAAGAACAGAAGTCGCCGGGAACACTCGGCGGGGAGGGTGGGGGGGCGGTCAGGCAGCATCTATGGAGAGAGCAAAGTGAGTTAAGGTTTCGGGTCCACGACCTTTCGGCGGTTCTGTTTTTGTTAGCTTTCCCGCACCTGAGGTATTTCGCCTTTTGTTTACATCTTCCTGCGTCGTGGGCAGTATGTTTTTAAAATGACCAATGTGCGGCCCCACTCAGTGCGATTGAAGAAGCAAGTGTGTAATCGCTGAAGCACACGGCGCAATTAGGATTTTAACTTTGCTCATGATCTGGTTAGAAGGGTGGAGATTCAAGGCCCTCATCAGAGCTGAGCTTACATTAGTGCATCATTGGGAGAATAGTTTTTTTCCCCCAGTCATCCAGCTGATGCGCGCAGAAACCTGTCACTGTGGTTAAGAGAATCCTAACTAGTCAAGAGTTCCACAGATGTTTGCCACCTAAGCGTGGAAGTTTCCTGTTTGTCTCGAATGGAGTGCACGCTCTCTTCCCAGAGGGATGCACCTTGTTTACCAGATTCTATCAGGAAAGAACAAGGTTCAGATTGGCAGGAGTCAGGGGCCAGAGCGTGCATTGGGGATTACTGCTCCAAGAACTGCAAAGGTTAACATTTCTAGCAATTTCGTCTTGTTGCTTGTCCAGCCAATACTATCTTACCTGTTGGGGCTTTAGCTTACATCATAAATGCAAATAACTGAATAATTACATGCTGCGTTTCATCCACATATATACAGTCAATTCACTTTACATTATATTCTGTGAAGTGCTTTGACATGTCTCGAAGTCATGAAAATTGCTATATCAAATGCAAGAATTATTATTATGATTGAGTAGAGATGAGCAGAAATAATTCCCCCCAGTGGGGCGTATGCAACATTGTCAGAGTTGCTGTTAAACCAAGATATTAAACCAAGGTTCAGTCTACCCATTTGAAAACAATGCTAGTGTGTGCATAAAATTCGCTCTGAGAAATGGCAGCCTCTCGTATTGCAAAGCTACTTCCACCTAAAGCGACACACTTTCAATATGACTATGGTATTACTATTGGTAAAGTGCAAAAACAGAAGTGTTAATTGCAGATATGAAGATGCATGTTATTACATAACAGATTATGAAACCACTACTTGTTTTGCCGAAACCTGAGCTTCTGTTTTAAATCCAAAAGTGACTACTTTTAATTTTTTAATGATACAATTTGAAATATTTCATTTAGACTTAAAAAAAATTATAGTAATTCTTACACTTGCAATAGTGCCTTATATCATCAAAACATCTCAAAGTGCTTCCCAGGATTTACTGTGAGGTGCAGTAACTGAATATGTGGGCAAATGAGGCAGCCACTTTGCACATTGCAATGTTGAGTCATGAAGTGAGTGACCAATTTTATTTGGGGAATTGTTGGCCAGGACACCGGAAAAGACTCCTTTCTCTTTTTGAATTGTGCCATGTACACGTTATGTCTACCTGAACAGACAGACAAGACTTCAGTTTAACCTCGCATCTGAACAATCGTACTTATGATAATGCAGCTGAACTCTGGTACTGAATTGGAGTGTCAGCCGAGCCTGAGAGTTCAAGGTCCTGATGTGTGATAAGAACCTACAACCTTCCAACTCAGAATTGAGACTGCTATCAACTGAACCAAGCTGATATCCCCTTGTTACTTTTTTTAAAACTTGAAATTTCCAGCTTGTCTGTGCCCTTACATTGCAAAGTGATTATTGCTTCCATTGCTGTAAGGAAAGAAAACAAATTCAAGTCTTGTTTGTTAAAATAATGTAACCAAGCCATAATATCTGGTGGTCAGGGAGTTGTCATTGTCATTGTATAGTTTGAATAATAATTTCTGTACTTGACGTAGCAGCTACAACTTGTCAATGTCTCAAAATGCTTCGCAAGCAGTTGCTTCAAAGTGCAGTAACTGTATTACATGATCACAGAGGCCAATTTGTGCATCTGTTCCACAAATCAATGTGAAGTGAGAATTGTTGACCAGGATACCAAGAAACCTCCCCTCTCTTACTGAATATTACTTTTAACATCCATCTGATTTGGGTACAGGTGGGACATTGGTTTAACATTCATTCAAAGGATGGAATTACCAACAATGCAATGCTCCCCCCCCCCCCCCACTGTAGTGTCAGCCTTAACTCGAGCTCTAAAGGTACACTCTGGAACCTTCTGATCAAGAAACATTCTATAATTATTCATAAATAAACTAAATTAAGCCTATTTTAATGCAATTCAATAACCATGTGACTGTATTACAAATAAGGTTAAACTTTCCTGCACTTTTCAAAATGTGAACACGGGTTCTGTTTATCTCAGTTGCACTGATTCATTGTTTTATATTTGTTCAACCCTTTATCTTGTTTCCCAGCTGGAAGCGGTGTAAGAACTAGAAGTATGCAGAGGTTAAAATCAGACATACCTCCTATTGACCCTGCGGTGCTAATAGATCTTGAGAAAGACGCACAGGATGTAGCACAGAAAGTCGATCTGATGATGAAAAGCCTAAATGCCACGGTCCAGAATGTAAGTATTGATTGATGCAAGTTAAGTAGGCTGGGGATCCAGGGCTCACCATCATTTTCACCTATTGCTTGAATCATTGGCTGAATTACAAGAAAATGGTAAACACACCACAGTATTCCTTCCTACAATTGGTTTAGCTTATTCAGTTTTTGTTCAGTTCATAACCTAAGTACTGCTGACCTGCTCTACCATGAGTTTAACAGTCACTGACGGAAGAATGTATGCCCCTGATGGGAAACTAAATCCATGTTAGGGATGGCAATAGAGGTGACCTCATCACGTAACCCCATTGCTGCATGTACACTTCTTGTTGAAAGCTGTGTATGAGTGACTGAGGCCCAAAGAAATCTGTCACAAATGCAGGGTAAATGTAACAGGAAGACGGCCATCCAATTGTCTCCACAAATCATCTGATATCAATGAGTGCTCTTCTTGATGGATGAAAATGAGTATCCATTGATTAGGTTGAGGCCTACGCTCCATAACAATGATTTGATTTTGTCACTGAGCACTGAGTACTGCTTTTGCCTATGCAGAAATGAATACTCAAAAAAAGTTAGGATAATTATTAATTATTTGAAGTACACAAGACATAAACAAAATATGGATTGTGTTGTGAACCCAAGAATATTCAATGTTTCTTCAAATCTGTTTTGAAAATATTCTCAGGAATGTGGTGAGGCATTAATTACCATTTCAATTACAAGTATATGTCCAGTACTGATTCTATAATTTTAATTTGTTTTAAATGCAGATGACAGCACTAAGCGTGGGCTACATTCAAACATATCGTGATTCCGTGGACAGTTTAGGAGAATCGGTGGATATGAGTATAAAGGTAAGGGTGGAGAAACAAAAATGAAATCCGATTGCACCTTATAAGATTTTCTTAGTTCTCAACATCTTTGTCTTGTGTTTTGAAACCAACATTATTGTAAATAACTGCATTCAGTATGTTGAATTGTACTTTGTATTATACAATAATCATAATTTGTTTTCCAGTCAAATTTCTAGTCCTTGTTTCTCATGATGTTCGCTACTTTTCACTATTGAAAACACTGCTTTGTGTTTACAGGGTATGTATACACTAATGGCCCGCTGTGAAGAGCTAGACAGATCCATGCAACCCATTCATGCTCTGGCTAAACAGATCCGTGAGGTGAAACGAACTCTGGAAATGTTCGAAACTCTTTGTAAATAGTTCAGTGGCTCCATCAATATAATATAATTGAGCATTTATTTTTTTGCTGAAATATTTTTGCCAAGTGTAAAGTATCAAGAACTGATGCACTGAAATTATAATTCAAGACTGAAGACAAACAACAGAGAAAGAAGCTATTAAATCCCTGCAATCAACAGTTAATACTTAATCCTGTAGTGAAACATGCAAATCCTTCCAAGACTACTACTCTGGTAAATCAAAGTTCATATCGCTGGCTTAACTTACTTTAGAAGCACTTTAAGGTTCGCATTTTAACCAGAAAGAAAATTACATATCAGTTATGCAAGTATTCCTAAGTTCATTCTCTTTCTTCCCTCCCCACCGCCTTCAGAACCTCTTCTCCCATCCCACGTATGGTACTGATATTAAGGTTACCTGATCAAGGTATTTGGGCTTAAACTACACACATAGTTTAAAATGAGTCAGAAAGTTGGCAATGGCGGCAGCAGGCTATTTTTCTGTAAGCCTTGCTGAATAGTGCAAACACAAGTACTGTGAAACTGAACATTTGTGCTTTCCAGTAGTTTAGAATTTTGGTACTGGGGGCATCTTTGCATTAACTTGTACTGTAAAATACTTCGGCTGAAAGAGACATGTAGAATTTCCATTCAAAACAATAGTATAGGATGTTTGTTGGGGTAGTGACGCATTGAAGTTTGATCAAATCCATTTACAGTGAGAGAATTGCTTTGGAAATGCAATCCTATGTATTTATTTAAAATACAAGTTTTACAAAGACATAAGCGAACAAACTTTAGAATGTGAAGAAGGTAGGTGATCGGTAAAGGTAAACCATGTACATGTCAAACTGAAGTGAGATGAAATTTGTTTTGTAACTCTTTGATACCAGAAAATACAGAGCTTTGAATTCATCATAAGACAGTGACTGTGTTCTAGGTATGTGGCTAATGTGGCCACCTTTTCCAAATCATGTTAGCTGTTTTATGAAGCAGCCAAATTAAAATTTGTACCTTCAAGTCTGGACATCTGTGTATTCAGGGCCATTCGAATGGATTCCATGGCAAACTAAACGTCCATTGCCTGCAAAACCGTGGTACTGCAGATCTCCTGCAAAGAATTTGTGAATGATCACAAAAGTGAAATGAAAAACAATAATGCTTCTCTGTGTCCATGTTATTTAAAACTGGACATTGTTTCTGCCATTTAAGAGAAGGTAAGTAAATGGTTCTAGATGTTGCTTTTGTTGTAATTATGTTCATATGTAATAATGTCCCCTGACAGACTCACAGAAGTGATAAAGGGGGTTCGGTGGATGCAATTTATAAGGATTTTCAGATGACATTTGATAAAGACCCGGGAAGGTGAAATAACCTGACATTTTAGAACCAACATGGTTTTAGAACTGATGTCATTTCTTTACGATGGAATGTAAAGAATGTTCTGCCCCAGAAAGCTGTTGAATGGGATCAACAGAGGCGTTGAAAGGGGAGATGGATCTCTACTGAATTTATGCAAAAGCTGCTTCTGACTGTCTGGAAATGGTCCAACTAATGGTGGCTAACAGATGTGCTTCAAGGGTGATGCAACTGGATTGTGCCCTGTAAATACATGAGATCAAGAAGGGAGAAGAATCTGTCTAGGGCCAAGAATTTCAAAATGTTCAGAATGAGAATAGATCATTCCTGTAACATGACATGAGAGCATCCTGGCAGCCAAAGTGCTGGACCCAGTGAGAATTCTGCCCTATAAGTCAACTATAATTTTTGAAGGTTTATTTCACTTCTATTGTTATGAGGAAGTACTTTGGACAGATACTTTTTTCTTTAAGTCTTGTTATTTACGAGCCATCCTAAATTTTACCTATTGACCTTTCAAAGTAAGCTTCGCGAACAAGAGACCCAGTAAATATATTAAATATTGATTATCCAGCCTAAGAATTACGGAGCCGCACGCAGCCGCGCAATCTTTCTCTGCAGGAAGAGAGTACGTCCAATTATTTCGCAGAAAATAGCTGCAAAATTGATCAAATATTGCATTTATAGAGCGCTTTTCACGGCGGGAGGACGTCCAAAGCACCAAAACTCCTTGTGTAATGCTGGAACATGGTGCACTACTCCCATAAGATTTGTTCTTTGCTTTTTAACACTGGGTTTCAGCCAGGACATATTTAGAAATTAGTGCAAATAAATCTATGTAGCGACTATGTACAACATTTGGTAACTACTGTATTAGCAGATATGTTCAAGAGCTAATAGACAATGTGTTCAGTGAGGAAATCTTTTGATTCCAGTCATTGGAATGCCTTCACGTTAAATCCCTCAGCTGAAATAAGCAACTCACTCCTGGATTTTTCAGAGAAAATAACAGGATGTTTCCACAGAGCCTCACGTTGCTTAAAATTTGAACTGCTTCACACAATGGAGTTTGAGCATATGGAATACACCTGCCCCAGAAGACCACAGAGGCTGAATTACATGAGTAACTCACAGAGCAGATGGATAAATAGTTGAGATTGAATGTGAAGAACTATGGTACTGTATTGTAAAAACAAACTTTTATCCACTGTTCCCCCAATTATGTTAATTTGCCAAATGAGCCACTAGAGGGTGTGCGCTAAATGGAAGTTGGGTGCTTTTGCCAACGTAATCCCGTTGCTATTGGGTAAGTCTAAGCAGTTGCTTGAAGAACAGCATCACCGGAGGCCTGGAAAAATGATGAGCACTTCTGAAGAGGTAAAAAGCGGGGGAAGGAGGCATTTTGAAAGGGAGATTGTGTGTGCAAATAAAGCTCGATCTTAAGAATTCTTAACGAGTGTATTCTATCAGCTCTAATAATAATAATCCTTGCATTTGATACAGTGCCTCATCGCGTCGTTGAGATGTCGCAAAGCTTATCATACTCAGTGCACAGTTATCAATTTATTTTTGGTGTGAGCGAGAATGCCCAGTACAAATTAGCTGAGTACGTAGGCAAACTGAACATGATGGGTTTTTTTTTGGTTTGGGGGGTGGGGTGCAAATGACATTGTGTCACCATGCATCGCTTGAGGGTGCTGTTGAGTACACAGTTTGGGACATATTAAGATTTTTTGCACAGGCTGAAACCTTCTGATACAGTGAAGCTGCCGGATGGATAGGTCTTTGGCACAAACCCTAGGAAATATCTGCAAACTGCTAGAAACCTAGTAACAACCCCAAGCTGTATTGATGACTGATGGCTAGTTACTCCATTAAACTTGCTATTCCCAGCTGGAGCACAGTAATTGCAGCAGCAAAATGGTCCTGGTGGAAACATTTGTTGTGACTTGAAGGGAGTGCAGCAAAGATTAATCTGACAGCAGATGAACCACTGGAGGGTGGTGGGGGTGGGGGGGAGGAAAGCACTGGATTTGCCCATCCCTACCTCCAATCAAGACAGACAGCGAGTGAATTCATTGACCAGAAATGTTAGAACCAAAGCTGTGCCCGATTTATGATGAAAAATATCGCTGGAAAGAATTTTTCACTGCATAATTTCCTTTTAACGATTCAATTATCAAATTAGTGTGAGAGGGGAAGATTAGGGAAAATAATTCAAATTATAGCAGGACAATTTCAGAAATTGGCATTTACTGCTCTGTGGAGGACCCTATCACCCCCCATCCTTGCCCAACTCCACTGGCTTCCTATCACACAGAGGATACAATTCAAGATCCTGGTACTCACCTTCAAAGCCCTCCATGATATTGCTCCCCCCCTACCTCGCCGACCTCCTAAACCCCTACCACCCCATTCGCTTCCTCCGCTCAGCAGGCTCTGGCCTGCTTCATATCCCCCGCCTCGCTTGCCCCACTATTGGCAGGTGGACCTTCCGCCACTCTGCGCCCACCCTCTGGAACTCCATCCCGCAGTCCCTCCGCCTCGGCCCCTCCCTTGCTACCTTCAAGATCCACCTCAAGACCCTCTTCGACCGTGCTTTCGATCTCGCTGCCCTCCACCTTCCCCCACCCTGACCCTCAGCTCGGGTCCGTAACTCTGTCCAGCACCTTGGGACTTCCTCCCAACGTAAAAGGCGCTGTAAGAGATTAGAGAAAGTTTGCTATTGTTGCTGCTGTACGACAGGAGGCATTCTCTAGATCTGACATTGGACAGTTGCAAAGCAACAACAGTTAAAAATTTAAAATTAAGTGAAAGTCACAGTTGTGAATATTCTGAAATTGTTGGTGTGGCTACATTGAATTCATTAGGTGGGAAAGTAATTCTGCAGGTAAGTCCCAGAGCATAGGGACATGGTTGTGAATGCTCATTTGTAATATCCTGCATTTTTTCTTCTTTTGCTGTTTTTTCCCATGAAATTGCAAGCCTTCGCTATGTCTCGTATATTTACAACATTGAGTTCCTCACGTTAACAAATTATTGCTTTTGCTGGTAAAAGTTATTTTATGTTCCTGGAAAACAGTCTATTTAATTGCAATATACAAAAAAATCTGATATGTTTCCTCTGGGTAGAGACTTTTCCTCTGCATGTGCGCATGTAAATAATCCCTCCAAAAACAATAATAAATTGGTCATTTTCAATCTACGACTGTTTGTGGGACATTGCTGTGCGCAATTGGCCGCCGCGTTCGCCCACAAATATACAGTCAATTCACTTTACAGTGTGTTCTGTGAAGCGCTTTGGGACGTCCTCCCGACGTGAAAAGCGCTATATCAAATGCAAGGATTATTATTATTACATGGAGGGAAAATATGAACGTAACTGCAATGTCATTTAAATTGGAGCGGTGGTGGTGGGGTGGGGGGGCGCTGGGGATTGATTTCTCATTTGTAAATGACTGCTTTGAGTAAGTGGAAGATGAACATTTAACTTGCAGCAATAGTAAACCTGCTATCTATGAAATATGATTTTCTCAGCATGTAAATAAGTGTTGCTAGGTAACTGAGCTGCCGGATTTCAAGGTGTTCGGTAGAGGCCATGCTCCAATCTTCCCAGTGGGTTCCTGAATACTTTCCAAATTACGTCGTTTCATGTGATTCCATTGAAACAAACCATTTTTCATTTCCCGTTAACAATAATGTCATGCGTAGACTAGTTAATGCTTCATTAAAATTAACGATGGCACTTCCTTCATTGCATTGTGAAGTATACATCCAATAGCAGGAGCAACAAGTATGTGTTATCCATGGAATAATGGTTGGGTTCAAATGTTCCACAACTAGAACAACATTCAGGCACATTGTTGCACTACAATACATATAGGCTGGGCTGAAACCCTATATTGCTCCACCAGGATATACAGTGTTTTATAACTGTATGGAGGTAATTCATGTGGCTTAGTATCAAACGAGTGGGTGTTTTTGCAAACTTTATTTTGATTATGTAGATTTAAGTTCTGACGAGCTATTGAAAGAGAACTGCCTTATGGTACTCCTATTCCAGTGTTTCATTTTTCAGGGTAACGTAGCACTAAATTCAGATGCATTTAACATTAGTAATAAAAAAAAAGATATTTGTGTACTGTGTAGTTAAGGAAGCGCAGGCTTAATTAAATAGCGCATAACGAACAATTCAGAGCCGCATATATGAATGTAATCTGAAAAAAGAATGTCAAATTGTATAAGTGGGGTAAGTTTAAATGATTCCCAACTTATCTAAACCTCAAGGTTATATTTGTGTTTTCAATTTACTCACAGCTACCCATTTAATCATGTCTGTTGTTGGAGGGCTGCCTGGTTCACTAGATTGGAACACTGCCCATTTACCTCAAAGTTGGGTTGAAATGCATTGACACTGATGGGATGAGAGTATCCTTGTCTAAGTGGATTAGATTTGGGGTAGTCTCAACTTGTTTTCACATCAAATTGCTTGTAAATCAGCACCAGTGGATGAATTCTGCAATCTCATTCGGTGCCGGAAATGTCCGGTGCAGTCGAGTGATGATAATAATCCTCGCATTTATATAGCGCCTTATCACGTCTTCAAGGCGTCTCAAAGCGCTTCACAGAATATACTGTAAATTGACTATTTTGTGGATGAAACGCGGCAGCCAACTGTACGCAGCAGTGTCCCAAAAACAGCTGTAGACTGAAGTGACCAATTTATTATTATTCAATATTATTGATCTTATGAGGTTGAAAAGACAGCTACTTTGCTTCAACTGGGCGAAGAGAGTGTTGCTCCGTATCTAACTCGCGTTACCTTTGACCAAGTTTTTTGATGTCGGCACCAGGGGTGAAAAATTGAAAGGCGCCTATTCCGCGTCGATTGGCTTTTTCCCACGTTTGGATGAAACACAAAAGCATCCATCAAACTGGCGCACTTGAGGACACGCACTCATTTTGTCTTCGAGCAGTGCATTTTATTATCCAATTCCTAAGCAATTCGAAGTGGGAAAGCCTGGTGTCTTCCCAGTATTTATATACACACACATATCTATATCTATATGTATATATATCTATATATATATGAAGTCGTGTGCCTCCTTTTCCTCCCACCGAGCCTCTTGCACAGGTACCATTCCATTTTCTAGGACCTCATCCGATTGAGTTCTCTACATAGATGCGTTTTGGGGGAAGGAAGGCTTTTGATCCACACAGTGCATCGCCACCCCTGCCTTGTCCTCGTCCAACATTCAAGCACAGGGTCCCTCCACCTGCAGTAAGTGTCACCATAACCAGTGTAGCTTTTATCTGGTGCTCGTTTTGGGGATCTCCCAATTTGAGGACCACAGGACTCTTTTTTTTTCTCAATGGACCCGTCGGTTTGGATACGCCTCTCGCTTTGGGTGCTGAGCTGAATCTTCACCCTGGGAACAATTTATGTGTATGTATAAATGTGAGTGTGTGTGTTAGATATATAATTTGGGGGGTGGGGTGGGTGGGAGGGTGTTGTTGCAACATTGCAAAGTCTGTGGCTGGAATTAAATCAGTGAGTGAGCTCCTTCTTGGCTGTGTTGCCTTTGCCTTCTCTGCTGCTGCTGCTCCATCCCTGTCTCCACATAGAAACTGAGCAAATCCCTCCAGACTCTCTCTCTCTCTCTCTCTCTCTCTCATTCCCCCCCTCCCCTCTCTTCCTTTCCTCCCCACCCCTTCCATCCCCCCCCACACCAGCTCGCACCTCCATGGCTACCTCTCTGACTGGTTGGACCCGGGACTGGGCTGATTGTGGTACCATCGCCTTTCCCTTTTGTCTCCTCTCCAGTTCCTGATGCCCTTCTCTGCTCCCAAATGTTCTCGTGGTGGAGAAGGGGTTCCCAGTGAGTCCCGCTGTCGGGCTCCAGAGGACCTGCTCCGGACAACGGTGCCATCCACACCCGGGACACTGAGGATCTGCAGGTGAGGGGGAGAGGAGGAGGAGGGAGGGATGGAGGGAGGAAGACATGAGCATCATAAAAGCAAGTAAGAATAAACGAAGCTTTCGTTCATGTGGGTTTCGAGAGCTCTTATTTGCGCACAGAAGGTTTGGGAAATCAATCAGAGGATTTTCTTCTCCAATTTACAAAGAATCTGCACCTTTCTCTCCCCCCCCTCCCTCCCTCCCCCTCTCTCTCTCTCTCCCTCTCCCTCTCTCTATCCCTCCCCCCCTCTATCTTCCCTAATAATGTCCTTTTGTATTTGGAGAACCAATATTAATAGCGATCGATTGATTTTTTTCCCCCCCGTTATATTTCTTCTGTTGCTTTGCATGTTCATTTCAATTAACCCCCTCCTAAAATATCAGTAACCAACGTGTTTCCTCCCCTCCCCCCCCCCCCCCATCACACACACACACACACACACCCACACACACTCCTCACCACCAATTCATCCATCAGTGGATATAATC